CATTCTGTAATCATTCTTCAAATCATCTCGATGGCCAAAGATCCCTAGCTATCCGTCAAATTGTGAACGATGCGTTACGAAATCCGACGTTTACCATCATTATGAATGGTTGTCAAGTTTTTTCGCCGCTTTCTCATGCGATCATCTAGCTATCAAGTTTCTATAGAAGCGATCCTAGTGGAGGATAGCCACTCGCAACAATAGTATGTACACAAATTCAATGACACTCTCTTATGCAATAAACTCACCGTAGAACAATAAGGACATCGAGTCATCCTTGCATCGTTGTTTATTAAAATGACAGAGATTTTTGTAGGTGACAAAGTTGCTTCCGCAAACTGGTTTCTCCTCTTTTGGACAATCCTACGAAGGAATTTTGGGATCAAGTATTTTGCTTTGTGAGAATGGAGTATGGAGTGGAGCTTACCTTGTCACACATGATTTTCAAACAGTTCTCTTCGGGCTGGGTAGATAGATTTATGCCTTCTTTGGCTGCTAAGCATCGAGCATGTAGAAACATGCAGACATTCCTGAATTATTGCAATAAATCAACAAGCAGTAAGTGAGCAAATCAATAATCTTGTAATTAATATAGAAGAAACTCACTCATGCATTATTCCTTGACTGTCACAAACTGGCAGACCTTCTGAACCACAGGATGGCTGAGGGCAGTCAAACGTTGCTCTCTGTGTAGTGTTTGCTTAATATTTGATATTATAAAAGCAGTATCTCTTTTTAAAGCATTTTTGTTCCTACCTGCATCTGCCTGTCCTTTTTCCGAAATTTCTGTGGAAGTCAAAGGTGGAACGCTTTCCTATAAAAGAAAATGAATGTTTGATTAGCTACAGTGATGGATTTGTTGTTGAAGTAGTAACCTTTGGAATTATCTCGCCGCTATGTCGCAGTGAGTTGGATGCATTGACGAAGTCGGAGCAAGACTTTAGCTCAAAAAGCATTGGAGCGGGGCGACCTTTCTGAACAATGCTGCTGATTGCAAGAATAATAGAATTTAGCTTTACATTTCAGCATTCTGAATGAACGCCAGACAGTCAGTCCTGATGAACATAGAGAG